TAATTAATAACTAATTATTAATTAATTATAATTAATTAATTAATTATATCTATAATTAAATAATAATTAAAAATAATTAATAATTATTATAATTAATTTAAAAAAGGAATTCCATTTTTTTTTTTAGGATTTGGCCGAGAGAAGCTCGTGAAAGGGAAGAGGGTTACCTTCATAACCCGTGAGCTCCTGTTGTAGCTCTGGATCGGAGGAGGGAGGCGGAGGCGGAGGCCGGAGCTTGTGAAGGAGGTAGGGGTTTTTACTCCTCTCTCTCTCTCTCTCTCCTTCTCTCTGTGGATCGACACAAGCAGGGGGTTTGGAGATGGGTCGAAGGAGAAACGACGGGGGCTCGTGTGGACAGAGGAGATCGTGAACGAGGAAGTGTCGGGGGAGAGTAGCGACGGGAGCTCGTGTGGGTAGCGAACGGGAGAGGAGAAGCAGTGGAGAGAGCTTCGGTCGAGTAGAGAGAGGGAAGAGCGACGGGGTTGAAGGCTCTGTTCTCTTGGCTTTTAAAGACTTCAAAAAGGCAGCGATCGAGGCCAGATGCAGGTTTTACGGAAGATTCTGCGGAGAAGTGATCGTTTCGGCGCCGGATGAACAGTATTTTGCGGGATTTCTGCACGAATTCGACTGGATTCCTGGATCCTTCGGGAAAAGTATGATTTTGAGCCTCTCTCTCTTTTTCTTTTTTTTTTGGATATAGTATACAGGTCAACAGCCTCTTATGTGATAATATGTACTTCCATCTATTTCAATTTATTTGTTTGTAGTTGATTTCAGTTATATAAATTGTTGATTCGCTTGATACTTGATACTAGTGATTGTGATTATACAAAAAGAGAATGATAGTATAAAAGCAAATAATTAAGTCATATATGGGGGATAGGCCTGTACAAATGAAAGCGAAAGACCTGACATGGTAAGCCTGTACTTTCAATTCTAAAAGTTGAGAATCTGGACCCAACCTTGAATTGAAAAGCTGAAATGGTACAAAAGTCTATAGCCATCATACGCTAATTTAAAAGAAGGAAAGCACTGTTATGTTTTCTTCTGATCCATATGGAAGGTGCTCTAACCATGTTATTATTTAGTCACTAATGTTATGCCTTTCTCAATAGTTAAAATATTATTATTAATTCTTATATTATTGCTTGTGTATTTCATTGAGTCATAGCTCATTAGTAGTGGTTATACTGCAGATAAGGGAAAGGAACTCATAGGGCACTAGGCGGGAAAGAGATGACCGATCCTTTTTGGTATAAATATGTTTTGATGTACAAAGATATCTTAGAGGAGATCTAAAGGATAGCTGTATAAACTTTTTGGGTATGTAAGTAAATTTTAAAAGTTTTAGCAAAGCTCTGTATTTACTTTAATTATGTTTGATGTTCAGTAAAGTATATTATAAGCTTCTCATTATGAAGTTTGGAGTTGATAGGTTGACATGTTAGGAGGGCCTAAATAGATATCATTTTTACTCACTCTATTCTAAAAATAGTGTTAAGGAATGGGTGTTAATAAGGAGTCGATTTAGATTTTCCTTATCTGTTATACTCCAGCTTGACTGTTTAGGGGGGGGGAGTAGGCCAAACTGGGGTGTGACAATTTTGATGAATTCAAATGTTTTTTTCATGCTTTGCTTATTTGATGTTCTGTGAATGCAAAACAACTTTCCAAGACCAACTGCCAAACAGCACTTCCCAAGCTTGGCAGATAACCTCTCTTGGCAGGCCACTATCAATCATCAATCTATGGGCAACAATTCAAGCTAGTGCATTGTTGGCGTTGACATGAGTCAGGCCTGTGTTTTACCTCTTGGGCAACTGGTTTTCAAAGGTGGTTGGCCATGGTATGACAGCCCAATTATCACTTGTTAACTTCATTTTATAATCATATTATTTATTGCTTCATCGCACTAAGGGGTGAACCAACTCAAATATGGTCAGCAATTCAATTCTGATGTGTCGTGCAAGTGGTTCAACCAAAATCACCGGCTCAATTTTTGGTGGCTCAAACTGAACCAAAAATTTTGACATGTATTTTTTATCAATCAATATGACAATAAGCTATGGGACTTCCACAATGAATCAAAAAATAATTTTCTTATACCTGCAATCGATATCTGAGTTATGTCAATGGCACCAACACAAATCCATTTGGCTGCTTCTACGCCAAAAGCAACTGGAAGTGACTATTAGCCAATAAAATGATATCAGTATATCCCACATCGGGTAAGCTACTTTTAAATAAACTGCAGGTTACACAAAAAATTGATTTTAACAGTGAGGAAGCTAACCTGCAACCCCATAGCCCTGTCTCCTTCAATGCTTTTAAAATCATTAACAATTGCAATCCCCAGCTACTAAGTAAAAATTTACAGAGATTTAGCAACAGTTAGTTTCTTAAATGATATAAATTAAGCTAGCTGTGAGCAACATACCCCAGCTATGCTGTACAAGAGAGTAAGCACAACAATGTCGGGGGTAAGAGTTCCAAACAGTGCCTGACCAGCCCACCTATTAAGTGAACAGTTGCAATCACAAGACAGGAAAATTATATGAAGAATAACTTCCACAATTCAAGCTTAAAACAGAAAAATAAATGTACTAAATAAGTTATAGAATTGTTCATTATACCATGGTAGAGCAATGTAGCTTGCCCCCAAAGCAAAATTGCCAATCCATCCATTTTGCTTGAGCTACAAGATAAATTGTGGCCAGGACAGAACAGAAAATGTTGCAAAAAAAATGTTCAGCCTTTGCAAAGCTATACAATATAAAGTGATGAGATATAAGATTAATAGTTTACATCTAAAGGGATTAAAGTGCTTCAACCTTTAACGGGGGAGCAGAATATATGTATGAAACCAAGGATCCACCCAAAGCTAGATAAAATATAACTGGAAACGTGTGCCCTGCCTAACAACAGGAAAGACGAGCACTGCCAAGGTGTGAGGTTTTGCATTTGATATTTCAAACATATTCATATTTAAATTTTGAATGGCTCACCCACACATCTAACAGACCAGCCAAGCCAATGCCTCCTAGTAGCAGCAACCAAATCTGAGTTATAACCTAACCAAATGTAGTTTTTAAGTTTTCCAAATGATAATCAACCCAAGGAAACTAACTCTTGCCTATAGTCACAAAAAAAGGAAGAAGTAACTGCTAAAAGCGTGATAAAGTTGATGCAACAATTTCAAGGAAGACATATGAAGCAAGTATTAATTGTATGAAACATCTGGTATGATAAACAAGTATTTGAAAGCTCAATTGAAACCTGTCTGTGCTGAAATTCTTGAGTCTGTTGTAATCCTACAAATAGGATTAGCATTTAAGCCAACTGACTAGACCAAGCTTGCATTCCAAAGAACATGAATCCAGAGCAGAATAAACATAAAATTTCAAAAGAAATCCTTGAAAGAATATTAGAGGCGTATATGAAGAGTTAGACTTTCATAGATAACAGTGAATATCAGACCAGGGGTTTTGATCATTCTTGTAATGTATTCGTAATTGAAAAAACTGAACCATATAATAAAAATTAGATAGCCAAGTCGAACTCTGTCTCCATGCTTGGATAGGAACAACAAAGATTTCTTCTTTTGAAATAGACAACTTGTTCCTGAAGCTCTTTCAGTCACAAATATTTGTATTCAGGGAAGATAGAAAGTAAAATTTGGCATATCTTTCAGTCTTTCACCAGAATGACTATTTTTTTCTTATTTAAAATATCTCGAGAAAAATATGTGCATATTTATACGGCAGGCCACTTTAATATTATTGTTAATTAAAAAAACAGAAATAGCTTTCATACTGTAAAAGGAAAAAAATAAAAAGGTTAAGTTGCCACAGAAAATCACTTTTGTTAAAGATATATTCACATTTTCTGTAAACAAGACATGTGTGCGTTATTATTCTTTCGTATTTATTACAAATGTATCAAAACCATTTTTAAATTCCCTTATTTTTTAGCTTCAAGTCCATCGGCTGTTTGCAGGAAAGAGTACCTCATACACTTGTGAAATACCATGTCCATTACCCAGTTTAAATTAAGCGCAAACAAAAATTTTAAAAATGACCATAGTGATGAAAATAGTCTGATACATTAATATCCCACACAAAAAGATAGGGCTAAAATTTTCTCAAGATCTTTGACTAGGCTTTGAATAAGATCATGCTATATCCTGTGCAAAATGATAAACTTCAACAATAGCCAGATTGAAACAGGAAACCTACAGCCAATGCACTGTTTTCCAAGCAACATCGTTAACAACATTATTACAAGAAAGATTTACAAACCTCATTCTCAGATATCGCTCCTGAAGGAATGGGGCGATAAGGCTCATTGATAGCATCGATTTCACGATCATACCAATCATTTAGCGTCTAAAAGGATGTCAAGAGTTAGTATGAACAGAATGAAGGAAAAAAAAAAAGAACTAAACAAATAAAAAATGTTAGGCCATTTTGAAGTTGATTCAATGGCTTTCCTGATTTTGAAATATTGCCAATGATTTTTAGAAGAGGATGCTAGCTCAGTCCTTATTTTCTGAATGAACCCATATGTAAAAAGAGAAAGAAAAAAGTAGCAAATATGCACACCCCCATACTTTTTGTGGGCCCACACAAAAATAGGTTCGAAACTCTTGGGATAAATGCAAAACTTATATAACACTGAGAGTGCAAAAAAAGCGTACTACAAAAAAAAATTACAGTTTCATCCAATTGATGACTATATCATGTTGTTGTCACTGTAGATTTTATTATTGATTGTTGAGAATTACAACCCAAATTTCTTAGATACATAAGATGACACTCATTTTATAAAGAGAAACTAAAGTAGCTAGAAAAATACAATCAAATTTCCAAAACAGCCTTTATAAAATAATTATAAATATTGGATACCTTTCCCAGGCAAACCAAAAACCCCTAGATAAGTCGGACTGCAATTAAGTCTACAAATAGTGTTTTCCTCAAAAGAAAAAAAAGTAGACTTCACAACTTAATAGTAACCACCATCACGAACATGTTGTTACAACCTTAAGCTCGTGGCTATGGAGTTAGACAATAGGTGAATAAGCCAGAATGTCGTGAAAATCTTGTCATGTTTGATGCACATTGTGTGTGTGTATGATGTGCATGGTTGTAATGACTTGGAAAGGTGATGAGTGATAGGCACGTGGAAACATATTTTGCACATTAGTTGTGCGTGAGCTAGGAACGTGCCAAGCTATATCTACAAGTGCATAAAACACATGACTTTAGAGTACTAAGTTAAGTCTACATGTGCACGCAGCAATGATGATCAATGGGATGGATGCACGCAAACAGCTTAGTGGAGAGAGCAAGGATAATTGAAATGAGCTAAATTTTTCTAAGCACAGTTGGGAGCAGCGGCAGACAGGCAAAAGAAAAATGTTTGAAAGGATGCTCAATTTAGAAATAAGAAGCTTAAATTTGATAATAAGCAATAGCCTCTTTGTGATCAGTATGGGAAGAAACATTTTGGTCAGTATTTAGTGGGTTCTGGAAGGTGATATAGTGTGGTGAACTGGGTCATTGCAGGATGGATTGCCCACTGGGGAAAGAAACAACGTCAGGCCACAAGGATATCAAGAACATGGACAATATAAGAGATGTTTGGAAGGCAATCAAGCAGGGAAAACTCAATTTTAGAAAAAGCCATCAGTTCAAGGGAAACCACCAATTCATATGAGATTAGAGCATCAGATGTTAAAAGTAATCAAGCTAGGAAAGTTAGAGTATTTTCCATCACACCTCAAGAAGCCAAAGATTCAAAAGAGACAGTTACAGGTATACTTCTAATTTTAATAAATTTGATAGAGTTCTTTTTTATTCTAGTGCATCCTAATCATTTATTTCAGCAGAATTTTGTTCTGACTTATATGTTGAGATTGTATGCTTTACACAAGCCTTATGTGTTATAATGAGAACAAGAGATAGTTTGCATGCTCATAGGAAGTGTTTTATGAATCTTGATTATTCAAGGTCACAAATTTACAACAAAGTTGATTTTAGTGTCTATTAAAATTTTTGATATCATTTTGGGAATTGATTGGCTAGTTAAATATTTTGCCACAATTAAATGTTGGAAAAAAAGGATAAAGTTTAATTTGTCAAATGAGAAGACTTTCTACTATCCATATGAGAAGAACAGGATATCTTCTCTTATTAGTACAGTAAATATGAGTAAATATGTGAGGGGTGAGCTGATGTTCTTAGCTAAAATGGATGTGTTAAATAAAGATGTATAGGCATTATAGAATGTCCTAGTTGTTTCATAATTTTCAAATGTATTTCCTAAAGAATTACCTGGATTACCACTTGAAAGGGAAGTCGAATTTGGGATAGAATTGCAACTAGGAACATAAGCAATATACAAATCTCCTTGTAGTATGACTCCAAAAGAATTGCAGGAATTGAAAGCTCAATTGCAAGAATTGTTGGATAACAAATTCATAAGGTCTAGTAATTCACCTTGGATTGCACCTGTACTTTTTGTTAAGAAGAAAGATGGATTCATGCGAATGTGTATTGACTATCGAGAGTTGAACAAAGTGACTATCAAGAATAAATATCCACTACCTTGCATAGATGATTTGTTCGATCAGTTAGTAGGTGCTACAATATTTTTTTGAATCGATTTGCAATTAGGGTATAATTAGTTGAGAGTTAAAGAAGAAGATATAAGTAAGATAGTTTTTGGAACCAAACATGGTCATTTTGAATTCTTCATAATAACATTTGGGTTGACGAATGCTCCTATTATTTTCATGGATATAATGAATAAGATTTTCAAGAATTATCTAGATTAGTTTTTGGTTATTTTTGTTGAAGACATTCTGATGTACTCAAAGACTAAGGATAAGCATGTTGATCATTTAAGAATAATTTAGAAAACATTGAGGAAAAATCGGTTGTATGTAAAATATTAAAAATGTGAAATTTGCCTAATAAGTATTACATTCTTGGGACATATTACAAATGTTGAAGGGATTTCAGTAAACCCACAGAAGGTGAAAACAATCTTGGAATGGCCCATACTAAAGAATATTATAGAGATTCGTAGCTTCTTGGGATTAGTTGGATATTATGGGACATTTGTTAAAGTATTTTCACAAATTGTTATGTCACTATCCAAGCTGATGAGAAAGGATGTTAAATTTGAATGGACTACATAATGTGAGAAGAACTTTCAAGCATTGAAGAAGCATCTGACTACAGCACCAGTGTAGGCAATTCCATTAGGAATAGAAGGATTTCATATTTACAATGATGCATCTTAGAAGGGATTAGGATATGTTCAAATGTAAAACAGAAAAGAAATAATACGCATTGAGACAATTGAAGTCACATGAAAGAAATTATCCTACTTATGATTTAGAGCTGGCAGTGATAGTGTTTGCTTTAAATTTTGGCAACATTATTTGTATGGTGTGAGATGTGAAATCTTTAATGATCATTAGAGCTTTAAATATATATTTTCACAAAAAGAACTAACACTACAGGAAAATCACCCAAAACCGGCGGCTTTTTCCGGCGGTTTAGGTGGTAACACCGGCGGTTTTAAAAATCAGCGGCGGCTTTTCGGCGGTTATCCAACCGCCGAAAAAAATGGCGTAGGAAACAATTTGCCAGCGGTTTTTACCGGCGGTTTTATTAGCCGACGGTCTTCCGGCGGCTTATACCGCCGGTTATTACCTTGCTTTGTACCGTTGGTGTTCCGTCCGTTGCGCCGCCGGCCATGTGACCGACGGCTTACCGGCGGTCCCTTCAACGACGGCTTGCCGGCGGTTCCAGCGGCCGACGTGCATTAGAGAAACCGCCGGCACCCGTCGGTAAACCGCCGGTACTACACCAGCGGTTCCCGGCGGTCTGGGCCGACGGTCGTACTGGCGGTCTAGACTGCCGGGCTTTCACCAGATTACCGCCGGGTGCCATCAGTAACCGCCGGTATAATACCGGCGGTTTAACGAAGTTACCGGCGGCGTCTCAGCCGTCCGGTAAAGAAATCACTTATCACCGGCGGTATAAGCCGTCGTTAAACCGTCGGACATTTTAACCGCCAGCGATTTGACAGGCGGTTTGATAACCGCCGCTAGTTCCAGCGGCCTTAACTTAGATAACTGCTGGTGTGCCGCCGGTAATACCCGGCGGCTAAACCGCCGGTGATACCGGCGGTCCACTAACCGTCGGTGATACCGGCGGTCCACAAACTGCCGGTCAAAGCCGCCGGTAACAGCTGAATTTCCTGTAGTGTAAATTTGAGATAGAAAATGATTGCAGCTAATCAAGAATAATGATGTGAATATTCAGTATTGTCATGGAAAAGCTAACATTGTGGTCGATGCTTTGAGTCGTAAATCCATGGGAATTATAAATTGGATGATTACTCAAGAAGTTCAATTGATAAAGGAAATGGAGGCACTGCAATTGGAGGTTATAGATTTTAAAAATCTTGAATATTTATAACAGATGACAGTAAAGCAAAGTAGCCAACTTTAACAAATCAAATTCAAAAAGCTCAAAAGATTGATGGTGAGTATCCAAAATTAATTAAGCAAGCTCAATCAAGAAAAAGACTAGATATTTCTATTGATACTGATGAAATTATTAAGCATAAGTCTTAACCGTGGCACCTAGTAATCAAGAATTAAAAAAAAAAATTGTAGGAAACTCATCGCTCATGCTACACCAATCTTCCAGTTAGTACTCAGATGTATAAAAACTTGAAACTAACTTTTTGGTGGCCAAGTATGAAGAAAGATGTTGTTGAATATGTATCTAATTATGAAGCTTGTTAAATTATGAAAGCTGAACATCAACGACCGAGTGGACTTCTGCAATCATTATCTATCCCTGAGTGAAAGTGAGAAGATATTGCAATAAATTTTGTTATGGGATTTCCCAGATCTAGACGAGGGCATGACAACATTTGGGTGATTATTAACAGACTAATAAAATCAGCTCACATTTTTTCTAGCAAGCAATCTGATCAAGTAGATAAATTGGCATACCTGTATGGGAAGGAAATTATTAGATTGTATGGTATTCCAAAAGTTATTATTTCATATAGAGATGGTAGATTCACTTTCAGAATGTGAAAAAGCATTCATGAAGGCTTGGGCACAAACCTAAACATCAGTATAGCTTTCCATTATCAGACTAATGGTCAATCTGAAAGTACAATTTAGGTATTGGAAGACTTATTGAGATTATGTGTTTTTGATCTTGGAGGTAGTCGGGAGGACAACATATCACTTGTACGAATTGGTCTGACTGGTTCAATTGAACCGCCGACCTATGTAATCACACCCGCACGAGTAGGCCCGAATGAACAGATGAAGAGTTGGGTGGACCAAGCGAGGGCACGACAGGGCTAGAGAGTTCGGTTATCATTTTCGAGCGAGGGATCACGTACAAGAGTGAAAATAAATGACTCCTCGTGAGTAATATCTCTGTTTCACTCACTCTTCTAAGGGTAAAATGCATGTGAAAGCTTCAGCCAAGAGAAGCGCCCAAGAGGAAGAAATTGTTTTTTCCAATTTCTTTTTTTGGCACATTTTTCTTTAGTGATTTATCCTAAGAAGACATCAGGAAGATAGAGGAAGAAATTCAGAAAAGAAAAAAAAAAGTAAAGAAAAATTTTAGTGAATGACGAATCAACGAGTTTTCATTTATGCCAACAGAAGGAGTAAGTGAATTAAAATGTTCTTTTGCATTCACATTTATTATTTTAAATTTCTCTAATTGATGAAATAATAGGTGATTGTCAAGCAAAAAGAGAGAAAATTTTGTGGTGAATCTAAATTTCTAAGGGGACAATTTCAAAGAGGAAGGATGAAATTGTTAGGTGAGGTAATAATTTTTATTATCAGAAAATTAGATTTGTGAATTATGTTTAAGATATGGAAAGTTGGAAACTTTCAATATTTTGTAATAATAGCCGATGCATGTAACGTTACTCTTAAGAATGTTAGTCAAATCAAATTCATTACAGCTTTGAATTTGTAAATTGTTCAGTGATAATTAATGAAATTTAATGTTATTTGGAACAGTGAATTTTCATAGCTGAGACAAGATAAGTATTGGAAGACTAAATCAGCGAATTGAGGATTTGAAAGATCTGACAGTAATCAAATGGGTAAACTACAATTGTTTATGGAAATTTCTTTATTTATTTCAATTCTAAAAGTAATGCCTTATATATTTGTTTTACTTATAATTAGATGTTATTACGTGCAAGATGATATCAATTCAAATGTATATGTGATGATGAAAATTTGACATATAAATTATTATGATAGTAGGAATGTATATCAACTATCATGACATTATGAATGTATATTAATATGTGAAAGATGTATATAATGATTTAAAACACATGTAAAGGAAAAAGAAAGTAAATTTGAAAGTATATGTTTGAAAGTTATATGTTATTTAAAATACATATAAAAATATATGTAAAGAATAATGAAATAAATGTAATAACTTATAATATATAAATGAAAGCATAAATAAAAAGGGAAATGATATATGCATATAAATTACAGAAGTTCACCCCAGTAGGATATTAGCTGAGGAAGCAATGTGCCCGTACACATTAAAAGAAAATGAAAATGTAAATGAGAATGGTACCTCAATGGAATAAATTTTTTACAATGCTCATGTAGTAAATGAAAAGGGAACATAATAAATGAGAAAACTGAAGAATGCATTAATGTTAATTGAATGGAAAATGAATACATTATTTAACAAATGTAAAATAAAGATTTATACCACATATATAAAATAAAGTTCTATACCACATGAATTGATATATCTACAAATATGTAAATGAGAAAGAATAACAAGATGAATATGATGCATTTTTTATATGTATTATAACTATTATGTTACAATGTTGATTATCCACTGAGTTTATCATGTAAACTCAAACTCTTAGAAATAGTTGAAAGAGAAGAATTTGTGTGCAGAAGAACACGCTCGAATAATAACAAATAAAATATGGTTTGTATTCATGAACAAATGAATAATTTTTTAGTGGCTCTTCAATGTTTGTGGAATATTATCCATTACTATTATGTGTAATTGCAGAAATTATATTAACCATCCGACTGTCAGTTCCCATGTCATTATTTTGAGTCTTCGGGTCAGGTCGTGACACCACAAATAGAATTTGCTTACAACAACAGTTATCAATCAACTATAAAAATAATACCATATGAAGCACTTTATAGCAGAAAGTGCAGAACTCAATTAACCTGGGTGGAAGTAGGAGAAAGATAATTAATGGGCCCAGTGCTAGTTGATGAAGCCATGGAGAAAATTAGATTAATCAGAGGCATATTGAAAGATGCTCAGGAACGTTAACAAAAAATATTGTGATTTCAAGCACAGCATAGTAAACTTTGAAGTTGGTGGTTTTTTATTTCTCAAGGTTAAACCAGTGAAAGGCACAACAAGATTTGGTCAAGGGGGCAAGTTGAATCCTAGGTATATAGGACCATTTGAAGTTATTAAGAAGATTGGTAAGTTGATTATAAGCTTGCTCTTACAGCTGACATGTTATATATTTATAATATTTTCAAGAGTCATTATAGAAAAAGGGTTATAGATAAGTGAAAATTTTAGAAGAGAAATAATTTAATTAGAAGAAAAAAATATATAGAGCGGTGGGTTTTTGAAAATCTTGGACCAAATTGCAACATCAGACAACGCTAGAGCAAAGTGCAAACAGACTGATAGTATACATGCAAACTTTTCGCGTCTGAAATTTAAAAAAAAAACTTGCACAAATATCCCGAAGAGTTCTTACCTGTGTATAACCTGTAAGGAATGGCCCAGACATCATCATGCAAGCAACAGACTTGGCCACATCATCAATATTCCAGTGAAAATTTCCTGCAAAGCAATGACATAAGATCCCAGAAACGGAGTTACGCTTAAAGCAACTCTAATATTTTTTTTAGGGAAAAAAAAAGCTTCAAGGAAAAAGTGTTTCCAAGTTACTGGAGTCTATCTATTTCAACTCGGTTGATATAACTCTAGTAGAAATATATATATGGTTAAAAGTCTGCAATCTGACTTCATGATTCCAGACTTCTTATTGAAAGGATTACTCTATGGTTATTACTCAACATCATCAAATTTTCATCTCTCAACGGGTATGTCATGAGTAACAAATTTCTCATGGAATTGGATCAATCTTGTTTGATGATCTGCGTAGCAGTTAAACTTAAAGGAAGCATTACTCTATGGTAGTTGCATTCTAAGAGACTAATATGTAAGCAATAAGGAGAGTTAAACATGCATAGAGCCTTCACATTTGACAAGCATAAAACAAATTGTTCTTGTATGCATAACATGAGAACTTATCTGTACATTGATGCTTGGAAACATATTTCTTGTTATATCTTGTTATAAATCAGAACATGTACATATGTTCTCGATTGTTTTATTTTTGAAACCCACATATTAATGCAAATATGAAAATTAGTATCCCAGGAATTCACGGCAAGAAAATCAAAATCTCACGTATTCATTCTAAAGGAAATCAAGATCACATGGACAAAGAAGAAAATTCATAAAATGCTTTTAACATATATATTTATTTGCATAGTTGTAAATAGTTTTAATTTCATTCCTAGATCAGTCTACATTGCCTTGCATCAAATAGTACGTGGAATCAAAGCCCCAGTTTATTTTCTTAATATCTTATTTATCTCGACTTTCACCACCTGACGCAAAATCATACTCTTATCATTAATGGTCAACAATCTCCACCCTCGTCGCTGCTCTATCATCTTTAGAGCCTCGCTCGCAATCATCGATGATGCTGATCTCTGCTCAACAATTACAATGCAACACCTAAACAAATCTGCCAAGACCAATTCATTGATTGCATTGTCTCCAACTCAAAACCTGCACCAATTTCACAATTCCTATACTACGCTGACTATGAATTCAAGATCAATAATTTGTCCTATGTAAACTAAGTTAACCCACGATGTCCACTCCTCTACTTCCACTTGGCACCAAACTCTACAGTATCAGACACTATTTATCCCTTCTACCACACAAAACATGTTCGACTTCCATTCAACATTCAAATGGTCAATTTCAGCAAATCCTTTACTTGACAATTCCCAAATTTGACCTTCATCACATACATTGATTCCACCAAATCCCCTACTCGATGATTTTCATTTGATACAACGATTTCTATTCAAAAACATTTGGTCCTTTACACGCCTATCCCCTCTCATTGCTAATATTTTGTAGGGTGCAGTGGATTTGGCGGTTGATGTATAACATCAACGTGAATTTGACATTCGTGACACCTCTTAGCATGATCAATACAAACCTTTATCATTCTTGGCCAATAGTAGCTCATTCTTTTAATTTTAACCGCCATCTTGGGACCTGATTGCTGCGCTCCACAAAGTGCTTCATGAACTTCTGCTACCACTTTATTAGCTTCTTGGGTCCCTATACACCTTAGCCACATTTGATCGAAAGCACGCCGATACAATGTGTTGTTGACAAATGCGTATCATAGCGCTTTCTTTCTGATTTAAGCAGCTAATAATTTGGCCATTGGAAATTTACTTTCTTTGAAATAGTCAATGAAAGGCCGTCTCTAGACATCTTCTTCTTCAACATATAGGCAATGCCACCATGATTCTGAAGCTTGACTAGCCTTATGTCATTTCTTGGGAACTTGTTATTCTTCAGACTAATCTTCAAGAACAACTGGTTGGGAAGGTTGAGGATCAACCAGAGTTGTATCCTGCTAACTTGAACTTGGTATTCCCTCTACCTGCGGGAATTGTAATAATGCTGGCTCTAAGACCCGATGATTGTGCACCATAATTATTATAGGTCATTCATCATCTATGTTCATCATTTCTTTAGCAATTTTGGCAAGGCAATCGGCTTTGCTGTTTTAACCTCGGAGAACTTGAGCTAATTTGACAATTGGGATTTGTTTCACCAGCTCAAGAACTCGTCGATGATAACAAGTCAACTCAAACTTGGTGATTTTATAAACTCCAATACTTGATTTAATACAATTTGAGAATCACCAAAGATTTGGAGATTTCAAATTCTAACATCGATTGCAATCTCCAGTCCTGCTATTAAAGCTTCATAATTAGCTTCATTGTTGGTCCGAGGTTCAGTCAAGCTGAATGAGAATCTCATTATGCCTCCCTCAGGTGCTACGAAAATGATTCCAATTACGGCTTGAGCTTTTTCTAGATTTGTAAGCTGAGCACGCTTAATTGATGATGCTCCATCGAAGTACATTTCTCATACTCGTAGCATCTCCTTCTCTTCGACATTTATGATATGCTCGTCAGGTAAATCATTGTTAAGCGGTGAATCCGCAGGGATAGGATGTGCAGCGAGGAAATCTACAAACACTTTCCCTTTCACTTCCTTTTGCGGGACATATGTGATATCAAACTGCAGAAGTATCACTGCCCACCTTGTCAAACAACCTGTCAATGCCGGTCTTGTCATCAAAAACTTCAGCGGATCGATCTTCGATATCAATGTGATTTAGTGAGATAACATATAATGGCGGAGTTTCTGACCTGCAAAAATCAGGGCCAAGCAATGCTTCTCAATTGGAGAGTAACGCATTTCTACTCCTATCAACCTCGGGCTGATATAGTAAAGTGTATTTTCTTTTCCTTCTTCATTATGCTGGGCCAATAATACTCCGAGGGACTCTTCTAGTGCTGTCGTGTACAGTATAAGAGGCTTCTCTGGGATTGGCGCCACAAGAATAAAAGGGTTCAATAAGTATCTCTTGATGCTATCAAAAGCCTCTTAACACTCATCATCCCATTTAAAGCGTATATCCTTCTTCATCAGCTTTAAAAATGGCTAGCACCTACCTGACAGATTCGATATAAACCGTCGAATGAAATCCATTTATCCTTGTAAAGAACGGAGTTGTTGAAGGTTCTTTGGAGGTGGCATCTTCATGATTGTCTTGATCTTTTTGGGGTCGACTTCAATACCTTGATGTCAAACAACGTACCTTAGAAATTTACCGGAGGATACCCCAAATGCACACTTGAGAGGGTTCATCTTCAGATCATATTTTCTAATTCTCTCGAATACTATTCTCAAGTCATCAATGTGATCTTTTCGGCTCATACGCTTAATGACCAAGTCATCTATGTATCATTCGACCTTTTGATGAATTAAGTCATCAAATATATGAGTCATCGTCTATTGATAAGTGGCACCAACATTCTTCAAGCCGAAGGGCATAACTGTATAGCAAAAAATGCCTATATGTGTTCTGAATAATGTATGTTTTTCATCTTCAGGCTCCATTTTGATTTGAGTATAGACCGACGATCTGTCCATTAAGGAGAACATATCATAGTTAGAAGTATTGTCAACTAGAAGTTCTAATACTGGAAGCGGAAAGTCATCTTTCGGACATGCCTTGTTGAGGTCTCTAAAGTCAATGCATATACGAATCTGGCCATTCTTCTTCTTTACAGGGACTATATTGGTGATCCAATCAACATACTTTTCTTCTCGAATAAAGCCTGCATCTATGAGCTTCTTCGTCTCTGCAACGACCTGTTCTTCAATCTCCAATCTCATTCTCCTTAGAGCTTGTTTGATGGGTGTTGCGTCAGGCTTGAGGCTAATCTGTGAACTGCTACGTCAGGAGATAAGCCAGGCATCTCAGCGTATGTTCAGGCAAAGCAGTACCTGAATTCACAGGTAAGTTCTTTTATTTCTTCCACTTGCTCTTCTGGCATAAGAGATCTAATAAAGGTTGGGCGAGTGTCCTCCTCAGTTTCCAAGTTGACTTCTTTTAGTTCATCCATAGTAGCAGCTTGTCCACCATCTTCCAGTTCTTCTGGTGCGGGCTTGACTTCTACGGGTTGATTATCATAAGCGTCAGCTTCATATACCTCATCACCATCATTATCGGATTTGATTTCTTAGCATGTGATTGCTCCGCAAGCCTCCTTCCAGAGGTATTTTCGCTTGATGAATCTGATACCTTTGTACACAGCTATATCCTTCTGTCGTAGTAGACGCGGATTCCATCCATACCAGAGGCCTAGGCATTTACGAAGTTGTTGTTTAGTGAAAGAAATATTGATCTGCTTTCGTAGCATTCTATGAATACATTTGGTATTAAACCTAGGTAGCCTTGTAAAAAGTAACTCTTCAGAATCGAGGTGCATGCAGCACCAATCATAATTCTCTTCTTCGCGCATTCCAGTAGAATATAATACATTTCCAGGTGCAGTCCCCTTCTTCAAATGAAGCAGATAAAGAGTGGAGAGTTCTTCAATCTTATGCATCACGCGCGGGATGATTTTTTTAAATTGTTGTAAGGGAATACGCGTGACTACGAGTACGCTATCTGAGATTAACAGGCCATCTATTCTTCTAGAGAAAACATCATATACTGTGTTTATGTAGATAGAGTCGTAGTCATAATCATCATTTGAGTATTCAACCTCCCTACTCCATTTGGCCGTAGACTGTAATACTTTTTGGGATTTTGTAGGGGTGACAACACTTTCATCTATGTCGCTCCCAAGATGAGATACGTATTTCCTTTCTTTTGAAATGGTTGGTGCTTTGGGAAGAATCGTCTTTCTCCCTGCATGCCTCTTCTCATCTTCTTGTTTGGGTTGTTTTGCAGCCTTTGAGTTTGATGCTTTAGCTTCAAGAGAACTCGAAGGTTTTTTCTTATTTAGCATGAAGTACCTGGCATCTTCATATATTGTTATTTCATGTACTACAAAGGGTTGGATATTACCAGAGATTCTACATTCTTCTCCTTCCCTGAGATACTTCATGCACTGGTGTAATGTTGACGGGATAACGCCATATTCATGCAACCAGGGGTG